TTTTTTTTTTTTTTAAAGACCACTTCTTATAAGCATTTTATATGCTAAAAACAACTTTTTCCTATAAAAAAAATTTTTTTTTTTTTTTTTTTTTAAAGACCACTTCTTATAAGCATTTTATATGCTAAAAACAACTTTTTCCTATAAAAAAAATTTTCAAATTGGAGAAAGAAAAGGGAGCTTATAAGCAACTACATAAAAAGGCTCCACCCCTCCATGGCAATTGGAGTAGGATAGCGCAAGGTTTTGAAAATCGGACCGGATTGATCGGTCGAACCGGTTGAATCGGTGCCTAATAGTATAAACGGTTTAGTTCTATTTTTTAAACCGTTTGAAGAGCAAACCATTTGAAAATCGATAAGAACCGTTAGAACCGTTCAAACCGAAAAACCATTCGACCAGACGGTTCAATGCTTAAGAACAAAAGCTTGGGAAATTTGTCCCCGTGAAACTTGAACTTGCAACCTTGGAAGCCCTTTTAATTTATTCCAACCCTTTGCCACCAGAACAATGCACTCTGTTTGTCAATGATTGCTTGAAATTTCATTTAGTCTATTTTTAAAACCATAATTATTTAAAGTTTGTTCATAAGAGTACTCGAACCTGTGATCTTTGGTATGAGAAAGCAAACACCTACCATCGCACTCAATGGATATCTTGTAAAATACTTTACAAAATAATATATTTATACTATATTAATGAACCAGCGATTTTATCGGTTAAATTGGTTAAACCGGTCAAACCATGAACCGGAGGTCAAAACGGTTTGACCTCCGGTTCGGGTTTTAAAACATTGGGGTAGCGTTAGGAAGCACAAATTGGTACCTTGTGAACAAAATGCTGGTGCTGAGCACGTTTACATGATGAGGAGATATGTTGCACAGAAATCATATATCTATATCTATCTCTATTGGTTTTGTAAGCTTTACAAAATGGGTATCATTTTTAAAGGGGAAGAAGAAAAGAATCCATTGTTTTGTAAGTTGAAGAGAATTGAATAGCAAAATAGAAATCTTTAGAGAACTCTTAATTTTAGAAGGTTTACTTCTTATTTAAGACAGATATTAAAGGTTTATATTTTGTAATTTAATATGATTTAGACTACAAAATGCCTTTTTAAAAAGAAAAAATGATGCATTGAATAAAAATGTAATTACCATTAATTCATAGAGGTGTATATTGAACAGTAATTGAATTGACGTTGAATTAGCATTCTAGCATATGGATTACTTTTTTAACATATCGATTATTTGAGGTTGACATAATATCATATGAATTGTTGATAATTGTAACTGTTATTTGAGAATTAGTAACTATATTTATTAACTCATTGATAATCGTAAGTTTTTTTTCCAAATGGCCAAATTCAATAAATAGTTTATTAATTATGTAGTTTATTTCAGTTTAATTTAAAAACAATTTTTTCTTTCAAAATGATTTATAAACTATCAACTTTATATTAAAATGGTCTACTTGACATATATATGTTAACTAAACTATAATGGAATTCTTTCTAGCTGTTGACATAGTACCACCTAATTCATCACTTGCATGTCATGTGGCCCAAAACACAAAAAGGGGAGTTGGTATAGACAAGCTACCCCTTAAACTTTTGAAAAATGTTAAATATAGTATATATATTTTTATTTTT